GAGTTGCTGCACTAAAGCAGTTGGAGGCCACAGCGTCTTCCAGACCTTCAAGACATGTAGCAATTGGGTTTTTTTGGATCTTCTTCTTGGATCTGCTGCTTGAGACAGCATCGAATAGAGCTGTGTCCCATCCGGGCAAGGACTGCAAAAGCTTCTCCCACGCGGCTTTGCCAGTCCCAACCTGTGGCAAACCTGTTGTTCCTGAACCGGCCTTTTCCAGACCCAGAGAGACACGGCCTTGCTGAACGAGGTGGTAAATAGGAAATTTGATCGTGTGCCTGACGGGTTTAGGCCGAGTTCTCCAGGGCTTTTTGCTTTGGACTCCTGCCAGGGGTAGGAGACGGAACCGATCTGCCTAGTCTCGTTTCGCTCCAGTGAAGGCACAGAACCCTTGATAGTTAGCAGATACCATTTCTGGGAATTTCCGTTCCCGTAAAGCACTTCTTTAATTAATTAATTTCTTTTGCTTCCCTGCAATTTAGGACATCTGTAGGTATTAGAGATCGAATGTTAACAGAAATGTTCCCATGGTGATTATTCTTTTTTATCTCAATACATTTTTATGTTTCATCTGCGGACCCCTCGTTAAGTCAGATTATCATATTAGAACAAGATGTGACTTTGTGTTTTATAGTCAAAAGAAGTTAATTCCTCACCATGGACTGACTGCAGTCTCGGGAGTGGTGTCTTTGGGTGCTGAACCTTTGAGTCTGGATAAAGTTACATCACTGAACTAAACTGGAAATCACTGAGGTCCCTGTAAAACTGGTTATTCTGGGGAACAGTGTTGTGGGAAAAGGCAGAGATCATAGATATTAGACTGGATCATCCATGGATCAATCCTGATCGACACTGTCTGCATGTGGGCCGTCAGTCCTTGGCCAATAGGTGCTGACCTACGGGGAGAAAATGCTGTAGAAGACTTGTGTAATCCTAGAGATTGCGTTTTGGAAATGTGTGGCAAACAGCTCTGCTGCAAGGCTTTCTTTCCATTAAAACTCTCAGCCCCTAATTAAGAGAGACCAGCCCTTCTCCCAGATGCCGGGTTTCGGTAAGACCAACTTTGTGTCACTGTCCAACCACCTACTTGTTGAGGTCTTTCTGCGCCTGAGGTGGAGATGCTTCGGCAGGGCCTGCCCATGTGCGTGGTGAGAATTGCACCCCTTCCCTTCCGAAGCTTGAGTTGGGTCCAGAGGATTTAGTGGAACGCTTTCCTAAGAGAGTAAAAATAAATAAAAGCAAGATGATGTGCGCTTTGTCACGCGTGGTGTTTGTCACTGCACTCTCTCCATGAACAGATAGTCTATGCGGAGCGGCCTCTAACTGACAACAACAGATCTTTGGCCTCCTATGGCTTGAAGGACGGGGATGTGGTGATTTTGCGACAGAAGGAGACCGTAGAGCCACGGCCTGCCATCCGTTTCCCAGGTGAGAGAGGGTTTGTGCTAACTTACGCTCTGAGCGTCCCAAGATCTCGATATTTATCAAACACCAACTCCATCTCCTGTCAGTCTCCTTTAGCACCTCACTAGGCCACTTAGGAAGGAGGGTGGCTAGCAATGACGCAGGGTGGGCTTTAAAATTGGCCAAAGGCCTTGTTACTTAATATTTTTCCTTATTCTGAGGACACATATACCATTTTCTTCTGGGCAGATGCAGAGAAAGCGAGGAAGGGAACTGGTTCTGAAGAGCAGTTTTTGTAAAGGCACGTGAATTTTCGTACGACCGCCAGTTCCCTTCCCGCTCAGCATAATGGCACAATAAAATGCGGTCTCCGCGGCTCAGACGCGTTAAAGGGCTGTTGCGATGCGTACTCTGAATCTCTACTGTGACACATACCCAGAGAAGCCACATCTTGACAAACCCAGTTAGATAATCGTGCATACATGGAAAAGACTGCTCTGATAAAGTCTGAGTGGAGCCTTGCTCCTCTGTCCTGCCTGCTGCAGCGATTCCTAGGAAATCCCCATCAATAAATATCATGGAAAAGGAGGTACCGCCGGCTGAGGAGGGCGTGGGAGCGTTGCTTGAGGTCCTTGTCCTCCTGCCTTAGCTGGAGGATGGGTACCTGCAGTGCAGGTCTGCAGAAATGTTACTTTTTTTCCCCTGTTTTTTTTCAATCTGGGAGATTCAGAAGTGCCTTAGAGACACTGGGTTTAGCCTTGTGATCCCTCCATGTGGTATTCACGTTGGTGAAGCTGGAAATAACTAGTCTGTGATTCAGTAAGTGCATTTCAGGGGATAAAAAATGGGTCAGATAGAAGGCGAGACCAGTTACGTAAATACGTGCTAGCATTCCTAACCCAGTAACCTGAGTGCGTGGCCGCGCGTCTGAGTTGCTGTTCACAGAGTCCGGTCTGATCCTGTGGCGTGAAGAGCAGCTCATCCTTCCCGCAGTTTTCCCACGGTGTTTTTCAAGCAGAATTGTAAATTGAAGCTCCGACGCCTCTGTCCTCTTTTTCCCTCAAGGTCTGCCGAGGATAGACTTCAGCAGCATCGCGGTTCCAGGGACATCCACTCAGCAGCACCAACCACCAGCGCAGCATCTTCGCCCGTCGCCTCCCGATGCGCCTTCGTTCCCTCAGGGTTTGGACAATCCGGCACTGCTACGGGAGATGCTGCTGGCGAACCCCCACGAGTTGTCCCTGCTGAAGGAGCGCAATCCGCCCTTGGCGGAGGCGTTGCTCAGCGGAGACCTCGGTAAGCCGGGTTTTTAGTCTGCGGGAAGTGGTTTTTAAATCTGTTTGAGCTCAGTTCTAACAAAAGGCAGCCACAGGTTTTTAACTAGCTGGGATGTTCGCTGCCAGCTCATTGATGGTGCTGATAAAAGGTGCCAGTTGGGAGTACTGAAGGCAGAGTTCCTCTCTTTCTAACAAGTCTCTGGTAAGCTGGGCATATTTCTCCTGCTTGGCTTCTTTAATATTCTCCGTGCCCTGCTTGGAAATACCACATGCACAGGTAAGTCGAGTTTCTGGGAAGACAAGTGGCTCAGCTCCCAGTTTCTCTGCGAAGACTCTGAATGCATGTTTTCCAGCAATGGCGTTGCGTTTGGTGCCTCCCAGAGCCCACTGAAGCCTCAGGAGAGAGCAGTACGCTAGAAAACACACTCTGTCCATAATGTTAGCTGCTGTGGAAGTGGACGTCCGAAAGGGAGAGGAAAAGGAACAAGTACATGATGTCTTTAACAGAGACTTGAACATATATGACTATTTCTAGCAGAAAACCTCCCCAGTCTCAAGTATTTTGATGTGTTAATCTTGCATATTTTGGGCACAGGTGAAGCCCAGTACAGTGTCCTTCCCTCCCTCTGTAGGTGAGCAGCTGATGTGGGTCCCTCATTCTTCATGTGATAAAAGCTTTGAACTCACGTCCTTTCAGTATGAAGAGTGGTGTTTTGGGGCATCAGATGTGCTTCTAAATCCCTTCAAGCTGTTTTGTTAGGAAATAAATCCTATTGAGTTTGGCAAAATGAACAAAGAACTCCTATCCAGAGTTAAAACCATCTCCTTCTCGCTCTCAAGCTGCTTTGCGCTTGGTGCGAGCGCTGTGTCCGTAGCGCGGTTTTTCCCGTCGCCTTGGGATGTGCCACTGCTGGGTGTCGTGGGCTTAACCTATGGCAGAAGTGGCTGATCTGTCTTGTGCTTACAATAAACCTGGATTCAGGTGTGTGTTTTCAGTCCCGAGTAGCCGCAGCGGGATGTCAGAAGGAAGTGGTTTGATCTGGTTACGCTTTCATCGTTCTGTGCTGCTACTGTCGGTGTTTGGGCACAGATCCAGTGCAGCTCTGGCTCTGTTGCCCGAACATACACGTAGATACGTGCCACGTGACCGTGCTGGATGCACCACCAGCACTTCAGAAGGTGCTGTCTATACAGAAGTCTGAAAACCAAAGAAAACATACCCAATGCCTTCCTGAGCATGTAGAGCCTTTGAGCCAGAGAG